ACTCAAGAAGGGTGCCTCCAGAACATGTAGATCTAAATGTTGATTGTTTCATCCCACCTGCAATTGCATGGAAACAGGACATATTCTTCTTTTACTCTACAGCTCGACACATGCCAAAGATAGTTGATCTGTACTACAGGAGTACTGAAAGCAGAAAAAAGTGCATCAGTGTCACCCCTGTACACTTCAATTCCTTCCAGCTCAAAGAAGATATTCTACATTTAAACTACCAAAGCATGAATCACGTAAATTTGCAACTTTATTTTAGAGGTCAATTAAAATAGCTGACATTATGTTTGTTTGTTTGTTTTTTTTTTTTTTTTTTTCACAGAAACGTAACTTTTTCTTCCTCTTTGAGCAAATCACAAACATGAATTTCTACCAACAAACTGTAATCTTGTTCACATTTGTTACAGCAAGGCAACTCAGTACTGCACAAACTGCTCAGAAAATGATTTTCATAATTTTCATACAAATTAAAAGGTTAGCATGGAGATTTCTCAAGTATGAGTCTTGCTTACTATGGGACAAGTGTCACGAAATCATCTTTGTGAAGCAGCAGCTGGATGACAGTTAATGTTCGGTCAGAATTAACTAATACTATTAGTGAATGACCTCAAAGTGATTTCTTCAGTGAGGCCAAGGACCAGAGGACACCGAGCACCTTGGGGCCACCCAGCTCTATTTGTCTCTGGGCCAAGGTGTGGCTCAGCCACAGGTAAGTCTCCTGCTAAAGCTGAGTTAACTTTCGGGTTGCAAGGTAAACATAAGGAAGAGTAGGGTATTGGTTCAGGAAGACCACCGCCTCCTTACTTATACTGCATGAAGTCTGAAGAAAAAGGTAGTAGAAGAGAGGTCGGTGTCTTGAATTGCAGATATTACTGGCTATTCCCTTTCTCTGAAGTAGAACTAAGCTAAGGGCGAGTACTGGCAGAAGCAATTCAGCTGTGATGATGTTCAAAGCTGAAAGAAATGACAGAGCTATGATGACAGTTCAGCCTAGCAAACACCAGCACAGAACAAAACCTGGTATCAAATGCACTAAGAAAGTTCATGGGGCGTTATTTATACCTGGAATTAGAAGAGGTTGCTGACTTAGAATGAAGGACAGCACTAGAACTGGGTTTAGAGATGGGGCTCAGGACAGCAGATACTGCTAAGCTGCAGCTTAAAAGGAAACTCAGGGTTAATACGAGAAGTGGAGCTGGCTTAGACTATCTGACTGCAGAGATTTGTGGGATCGGGAGTGAGATAATGCTAAGATTAGGAGTGGAATTAGGGTTTGAGCATGCTCTAGAAAAAGTTGATGAACTGCATCATCTCGTTTCAATATCAGGGAGGGCAACATGCCATGATAAAGGTCCCACATGACAGGACTCCACACACCCTTAGCAAGCCTAACACACCTCCTGGCATGCCAGGCCCACTCTGCATATATCCTCTGTTGATGCAAGGCTCCCTGTTGAGCTGTACGTGTGACGTGAATCTGATGTGCACCAGACCCCTTTAGATCACCCCATATGCAAGTTTACCTTTCTTTGCACATGTGCATAGTAAACCTGGCGTGGACAAGATGTCTGAAAACATCCAGTCCTTTCTGTCTCTATTTCTTCCTTCATTTGTACTACGTCTGCCATGTCTGAAATACATCATAGTCTAAAAAACGTAAGTGTATGGCAAACAATATTTCCTGTCTTCATAGATACATTTTTTAAAAGAGTTGATCAAGTCTGCACAGTGGGTTGGTCCTGCTAAGGAAATCAAAAGCCAGATCAACCACATATACAGAGATGCAGCATAAAAAATCATCATTGTCTTCTCCAAACTTGAACTTTGCCAGTGCTGACCTTGGCAGCGCTATTTAGCGCTAACCTTTTTCCCAGTTCCTGGGAGTAGATATCTACCACATTACTCAGAATTTTCTGTGTCAGGGAAGGGTTCAGGATTGACCCGCCTAATTTACATTACAGCAAAACCTGATGCGTATCTTCTCTATCTCTGTGTTTTAATCACTAGATAGGCTCACCCATATTAGCAATTTAAGGAAAAAAAATCAGGTAAAAGAGGCCTTGGACCTGACAACAGCACTTTTTGGGGAAGGATGAAATAAGTCTTTAAGAAACTTACAGATGTAGAACTTAGCAGCATGGTGTAGTGGTGGACTTGTCAGTACTAGATTAAAAGGTTGGACTAGATGTTCAACCTTTCAATCTTTCCAACTTGAATGATTCTATGATTTTATGATTTAATCACATTTCAAGGACAAAATCATGTCCATGCTGGAAACTATATAGTTAAAAACTTTACAAATCAACACGAGTAGCACACGGCCCACCTCTACCAATTTTCAAGCTTGCAATTTGGAGAATGCAGGGCAGGCAAAAATGACAGTTGCTCAATTCAACAAGCAAACCTGCTTCGGCATTCACTACAGACTGCAGAGGAGAAAGCTTCACAGTGAGTCTTGCCAAGAGGGAATTACAATAATCAAGCCTTATGGTCACAAGACCACACACTACTGTTGTGAAACAGTCAGTGGGTAAATAAGGGTGTAGCCTGCAATATAGCTCAGGACTGGAGGAAAAAAAAAAAAAAAAAGCCACATCCAAAACATGGTCTTATCCTTGAAAAGGTACAGAGTCAAGAAAAAAAATCACACAAATATGCATGGGCACCAAAAATGTGGCAAGAATGATATTGCTGTTCTAATACTGTCAATGGATTAATGAAATAGAATAGAAAATAAAGGTGAGACATGTCGATGGGCTAATGAGACAGAATAGGGAATAAAGGCAAGTCATAGAGATAAGCCTGCAGCAAGTAATTTAAGCAAAAGCAACAACAGCAATAAAAGGGAATTCCAAGGCAGTTAGGAGTTAAAGTTTGGATAACATAGCACCAACAGCTGAAGTTCAGTGTATTAAGGTGAAATCACAAAAGGAGTACATTTCCAGAATAATATGAAACTAATAGCAAAAAAATGATAAAAATTAAGATGCTGATTTTCAACCACAAATATGCAGGTGCCTCAGACCAGCAGAGATGCTCATGGACAAAGCTGAACCAGAAAAGCCACCGTTCAGCAGCCTTAATGGTTGAAGTCTGACTGAACATTTTCTTATGCCTCTTGTGTTTCAGACGTGTACCAGTGTAATCGAAGGATTCCAGAGATGTTTTCCAAACTTCTTTTCTTGTTTGCAGACATTAGGTAAAGAATGTGCAAAATAGTCACTTCTACAAACCTCTGACCTCAGCTCTGCGTAGGCAGATGTCTCTGCTGTCTCTACACCAAGCAAAACTTCCTCTAATGATCCACCTTTGGCTGTCTCACCACGTCACAGCAGTAGTGCCTGAATGGAGGCAGAGAGGACACGCTGCACCTACCCTCTCCAGCAGCCACTCAGGACATAACGCTAGGCTGGCTGGAGCAGCCCCCACGGGGGCTCAGGGGGTGCTCCCGGCCTTCTCCACTGCTGGCCATTTTCGGGGAAGATGGCTGGGCAGAAGGGAGTGGCGGAGGGAGAGGAGAGAAAAGCAACCTTCGCTCCTTCCCGCTGACAGGGCAGTGACTTGGAAAGCCCAAGAGCAGAAGGGGCTCGATGGGGAGAGGCAGGCCTACACATGGCCAGGCCTTCCCCATTGGTGGGGAGCCAAAAGCTGCTTCATTCACTGCTCCTGCTGACCCCTGCGGCACTGAGGGATGAGGGAAAACGAAAGCTTTAAGTGTACGGCATCATTTCCACTGCAGGGAGGAAAAGACGATAGTTTGGGCAGCGGAAATGCTAGACTGCAGTTATACATACATGACACAAGTCGCTGTGCTGGGTGGTGAGAGGACTGCGGTGAAGCATGAGAGCCCTGTCACAGGGAAAAGCAGGAACAGCGGGATGTAAATCCTCCAGGATGGGAACATAAGCATTAATTTCAACCAGGTTTACGAGTGTGGCTGTCAGTGATACTTTCCCAAATAACACCACAAGTTTAACTACAAATGCAAAAGCCTCACACAAAAGCTACCTCCATTCCAACCTCCTGAGAGCTTTCCTCTTCATGGCCAGCCCATCAGAAGTGGCAGGTTTCAGTGGGGTCTTCTTTCTATATGCTAATGTGTCCAGGATGCTCTCAGCTTTCACCACTATGTTCTTAATTTCTCTGTCCACACTCAGCTTCTGGTCCTCAGATATGATTTGCACTTAAGTACAAGCAATAATAGTGTTCATTCCACTGGTACAATTTAACATGTAATTTTCCAACCTCTATTAACTCTCAGATTACTTATGAGGCAAATCAATCACACAGCTTTTGACAAAACCCATGCTTATTAACACCTTTGTCTCTACAAGGGGCTCGCTGGGCTCTAAAATTTCTACTCTAAAGAAAATAGAGGGTTAAAAACTTCTAAATCATTGTTCACAGTAGCCTAGATAACATTAGCAAACCTGTTGCAATCAAAAATCATAAGCTGTATTTCCAAATCTCACAACTCAGGTCAAGAACCACAATCATAATTATCATCAATGAAATACTACACCCTGACTCACTCCATACAAATAAGCTGCACTTATAGAAGCAGTCCTCTGCTTCGGTAGACAAGGAAGGCAAAGGGAGAAACTGATAAAGAATAATTAAAGTAACACTGCACTAATGAAAAGGTGAAATAATTTAAGCAGCCCATGAAGTAACCAAGTGCACACAAAATAACTCAACAGATGTTACACTGGAAGGCTCAATATCCAGCACACAGATGAAATAAGAATGTGATATTAATGGCAGATCCTACAGTAAAGTTGATCATGGACCTTCTGTTGCTAACTTTCATAATGAAATACTATATTGCATGTAATTCTTGAAAGCAAACTTTACAGAATGACCAGGAAAATCAGAAAAAAAAACAACGGCCGGCATAGCTAGTATGGTAGTGGACAAAAACACGGAAAACAGAGTTGAATTTCTCATTGATAAGAACAGTGAACTACCATTTTATCTGCCTATTACTGTACCTTCATGACATCTTTGTAGGAATGAATAGCCTCAACTTCTGCTTTGTCATCATCGTCATCGTCCTCCACTCCCTCATCCAGAGCATCATATCCTTCATCTCTACCCCCATCAGTTTCTGTGGTGTTAGTCATGTGGTCTATAAGCTGCTCCAGAGGAGGACTTAATTCCCGTTCTTCATTGTCCTTCAAACCATAGTCCAAGGCTTTGTATATAATAATCCCGAGGGATTCGATAACCTATAAAAGTAAAAAAGAAGTATTTGTTAATGCTATTCAAACGCACAAATAGGCTAGATTAGAAATGCTCTTTTCTGGTGCTTATATTACAAGCGTAGCAATGGAGAAGACAACAAACATCAAAATTAAAGAGAAAAATGAACATCCGCTATCTACAGTAACACTTCAGTAATGTAGCACACAACATACAGGTCATTATTTCAAATTTTGAAATAAAAGTAAGAATATAAAAATAAATCCAGGCCCTTTTTGACTAAAAAAAAAAAGTACTCAAAAAACCAGTACTATAGATTTTTATATACAATCTTTCTCTCCTGGAAAAACAAAAATAAAATGAAAAGAAAGAACAGTTTAACATGAAATGCCTCCATCCTCCCACAAATGGTTACAACACTTGGAAACTGGCCTTTACTTTCTGCATTTCTCCATAGACCTGAGAAATGTCTGGAGCCAGCTGTGGACATCCGAGTATTAACTCTCTGAGCACTGGGACATCTGCACACAGGAACTCTTTTACCTTCTGCACATGCTCCACTGAAGCTACCAACATCTGGATTTCATTGTAATGATTTTTGATTCATTGTACCTTGATTTTTCATTGAATTCAAGGTTGCCTTTTTGTGCTCTTTCAAGAGCAAAGCAAGCAGATGAACCCTTACTCAGTGAAAGCTAACAATAAATTGTCACAAACATCCTAAAATGCTAAATGCATGTTTCCTTCCTTGGCATCAATTATTTTCCTTACAGTAAACACCGAAGCTAGCAGCTTTGCTAGAGATGTAAAGAGATGGCATTTCAAACGGAGGAGTTTGGAAAGTGGTATTAATGGAGAAGGAAGGGAAAATGGGCTTGCAAGAGTAAACCACAGTAAGGCAACGTAGATGCTTGTCTGACAAGGAAAGTAGGACTGGAGCTATTGCATGTGATCTCTGATCTTCCTGGTGTGTTATGATGGCTAGCGTGTCACACAAACGAGCAGACTCCCGTGTAGGAGTAGTTGGCACTAGAGCAACTTTAATAACAGAAGTATTTCTAAACATACCAAACCTTGTCATCAAATGCCATTTACTCTCATCTGGCTTTCAGTACTACCCTGGTCAACACATTTTTTTAATGTAGATTTTTCCAGGTCCATTTTGGTACATAGGATAACATAAATAGATTCTTAAAATGTTAAAATTAACCCTAGCAGCTTACTCATTCTTACACAGCAAAGTATTTTTGTATGAATGCTTGGAGGTTTGCAAAGACTTAAAAATGATAGCTGAATGGACAATTTCATGCACCAGCTGTAGCCTGATGGCTTTACGCTTATACTCATTCCTCTGCTGAGATCTCATTGCAGGGCAAATCCATTTTGCAAAACAGTGGTTAATAAGCAATCAAACATAAAACCCAATAAATAAAACAACCCTTTTAGAATCTATTTCCAATGATTTTGATAACTTGATCAATATAAATGTTTTTTTTCTACGCTATTCTTTTGAAATGTGTTTATACATACTTGAAAAATACTCTTAAGATATAGCTCAGAAAAGTGATTAGGCAAATTAATGAAGAAAAATTCGTCTTGATTTATTTAGATCAAAGAACAGCTTCTGACTCAGGAAATGCCAGTGAGACAGCCAGGTACACCAGGGAAGCATCACTGTATGCTAGCTCAGTTCTCACGCACTTCCCCAGACATCTCCTGTGACCCACTTTGGAGACAGGACCCAGCACCATACAGACCTTAACAACTGCCTTAACTTACTAAAACCTATGTTTGCAATGTTTCTGGTTTGCCTCTTACAGAAATGGGAATTACATAAAATAAAATAAATTCTACTGGTACACAGGTACCTGTTCCCTATAGCTCAGGCTCTCAGTACAATCTCAACGTATACCCCTTCTACTGACAGGGAACAAAAGAACAGCACGTTAATTCCAACCTGAAGTGGACCCAAATGAAAAATGAAGTACAGCTGAATAATTGCTTTGATATTTTAAACACTTGGGAGTAAACAAGGTCATTTCTAACTTTAATAAAGCCTAACATTAAAAGAGCTTAGCATACCTGAGAAGGACTGAAATGTCTGAATTGGATGCAAAGAATATAACTTCTTGTGCCATACAGAGATGGCTGCTGAAGACAGATTTTGGATTTAGCTAGACCAACATTTTAAAAAAAACATGGAAGAGGGGTATAAAGAAAGTGCACTCCCTCTGCCTCCTCCTGTTTGGGAGCAGGATTAAGGCATTCAAAAGCACCATGGCTAAAGCTGGGTGACAGCTGCTGCTTTCTTTGATGTATCCACAGCGGGGCTCTTGTAGTTCAGTACCACAGCTTGTGTGTTTTTCCATACTATGTACAGATTTCCTAATACATGCAAGGCAGACACAACACGAAAACCTGAAATGGCTCGAATTCAGACCCAGATTTCAAGCTTTCAGCTCCTTATTTAGGAGCCATGATCAAAACCGTGTTTATTTGGTGTCTGTCAGTATCGCAGGTTCATCTTGCCGAGAGACAAAGCACCACGCTTCTTAATCGAGCAACTTTAGTTGGCTTGCATTAAAACTGAAAACGTTCAGCGCTCTGAGTAACCCTGGTTTACCAAGGACCTTGTCAAACCACGAGTGCGGCATGAATATCAAACAAAAGTCCCAGAACCGTCCAAACTTCTTCACCAGGATGGCACTGCTAATGTACCTGTACACAAATAAAACTTCTGTGTCTATATAACTAGAAACACAACGTACAAAGTTAGACAGCTCACTGCTGACTAATCTCACGAGCACTGACACTTTGCCTGTAACATAAATCAAATGCAAACAGAAAACGGGAAACCTGTTCATGGTTGAATGGATGAATTGATAATACATGGTTTATTGAGCTGGATAATCAGGGACTAACATATGATTGTTAAAAAAGTATCAGTTATTTAAAAAGAAATGACTGGTTCTAAATTGCACTGTTTGTTAATTTAACACGAAGTAAATACTTCCAGCACCTAACAGGTGACAAGTACTGACACACTTTTGATTTACATCCGTGAAAGCAGAGGTACAGCATGAAAAGAAAGTGAAATTTAAAGTGGGATTTAGTGAAGCCCTGTTTTAAGCCAGACAGATGTACATTGACACATCAAAACAGCTACACGCCACTGGAACAAATGCCAGTAGAAATGATAAACAAGGCTGCTCGATTCAGATTAAAAATAAATAAATCAAGTTCTGCCTCTCCAGTTTTAGAACTCGTTTGTTCCTGGCTGACTTAAATTTTGGCAAAGGACCTGATCTCTACAAATCAATCAGTAGCTAAATAACTTAAAAAAATAAACATGGAAATCTGTGTTATTAAGCTTTACACCTTCTTCCCGAGTTCTTTTGAAAGGCATGGCTTCAGACCAAAGAAAAAAAAACCCACACACCAAACATTTCCCACAGACTGAACTTGCACTCCGTTGTGCTTAAATCATTAGTGAAAGGGGAATTTTGTCTCGCAGTGAGTGTTCTTTCAGTTCCGACACCGGTCTGGACTTGTATTTTACTATTACTTTATAACAACCTGCGATAAACTTGCGAGACACTTTGCCAGAACATTTGGACTTGATGCATGCTGTAAAAACAACATCCTCGCGCTCCTTCTACACACACACTAAAACAAAAGCCCAACCATTCAGATCATTTTCATAAACAAGCACCAAGTTTGTTTCAAAAGCAAACACCAAAACTTTCCATGCTGCATACGTCCCTCCAAGACGCTGAGGCACGCCTCTCCGAAAGGGGCTCTTTACTTCCCAGGTCTTTTATGGGACATTAAGTTATGTTCATCTAGTGACCGCCGCCAATTTTGCATTCTTTAACTCTTCACATAGGCAGCCTTTGTATAGGAGCAAAACATGTTTGAGACTTGCCAAAAGTTTCAGGTGAAATCACTGCATTTCACTTATTTATTTATTTTTTAACCTGAGAAGAATCCTTTTTTCCCCTGGACGTAGATGTTTCTGAATCTTTCTGAAGCTTAGAGGAGAGGCAGAATCTGCGTGCCGTTCCCCCCACTCACGGCACACACAATAGGGCACTGTCTAAGCTTTCATCCCCTTCCTAGGGTTTGCTTCAATTTTTAAACAAAGCAACAAAGCCTAAGGACAGGCTCGTCCTTACAGCAGCAAAGGGCTTTTTTTCTGCTCAAATTCCTGTCCCTCCCTAACGTTCTCCCTTCCGCCCAAAGCCACGCAGGTTTCGTAGCCCAAAATTGGGATTAAAGAAGCCGTAAAGCTCCAGCTCCTAAGGTGAGTCAACTAACTTTGAACTTTCCCACAGGGACCTCAAATACAGCACCCAGTCACGATAATATTTGCATTTCTTCTGCACCGACTTTCACAAATTCTAATTTTTTTTTTCTTAATTAAAAAAATTTACACTACAATTATTATCATTAAACTCTCAACTTTCTTACCAGCAGTTCTCCAGAGGATTTATGAAAGAGAATCACTGTCTTAGGGTAAGAGCAGTGGCCGCACTGCTGCCACCCACCAAGACAGCACGCAAACACCGACCTCCACCTGCCCTACTGCTGGCTTTGTATTAGCCTGCCAGGGGCTCTACGCTGTGTTTCTGGTGGTGTAACACGCCGTGGAGACCTGTCCATGGACAACTCAGATTTCAAGGGTTGTGTGCCTGACGTTTTCTACTGCGCATTAGGGCACGCACAAGTTTTTGTGATAAAATTCTGCAACGCAACCCAAAAGATGGAGTGGAAAACAGACTGCTCACCTCCACCAAAGCCAGCAGGCTGCTGCTCTGATTGCCATTTCTCTCTGTAACAGAGCAATTTGCCTGTTTCTTCAGAATCTAATTCTGTAGCTGAGAAAGATCCCACTTTTAGGGAGGATGAGCAAATAACACGGTTAGGATAAACCCAGGTACCCTTTCTGGTTATTTACCTCATCATTAGTGCCCTGGGTAACTCTCAAGAGTAACTCACAGCAGAGTACACCCAAACAGGTTGTTGT